ATTCTAAGCTATTAAGGTCTTGTTCGAGACTTATGGTCGCACCAGATGAGTTATAACCGATGGTCTTAACTCATAGAGTAATTTCGGATAGGGTACACCGTCTGCTCGTCACGCTATCTTATTTTCGGCCGGATAGATTCGTGCAACTTCTTAGTCTAATACCGATCCTAATCTTACTCTTATACTATCTAGTCTCAGGTTGTTTAACTAGTCTCTGCTAGGCTCAAAAGATCTAGGGTATACTGGTTTATTGCGGCTGCTGAAGTTCTCTTGGAGAGGCAACTAATTTCTAAGTTAAATTCAAATCTCTCTGGTGCTGAAATTACAAGTAATTTCAGCACTTACAAATAAGTGGGTTGTTAGTTAGATGGATCATGATTGGTTAATATTAAATACTTTACAGTGGTAAAATATCTAATTTATCCAATCATAAAATGTAGTTTAGATCAGGTTCCAAGGTATAAAAAACCTTTAGCACATTTTTTTAGATTCTCAATAAATCCTTAATTGAGATTGAGTCAAAATTTCCGAAAAATCACTATAAACATGATATATTGATATCAGTAAATCAAGCACGCAAAAGTAACTTTTTTTCAGGTACTCAGAAAGCAGCGCAGGTAAGCGCGCGGCGTCGAAAAGAACAGCAGAATCTGTTCTTTTCTCTGCTCATTCTCTTCTGCGCATTTGTGGTCACGTGGATACCCTATGGGGTGCTGATTGCTCTTTTGGGATTCAAGGTTGACGTGGTTGCCATATTTCCATTTGGTTAGTTTTCTCGATTTTCAGATTTTCGTTTTTGAAAACAAAATTATTTATATTATTATTAAACGAGTTAGTTGTCGGATCGAACATACTCGGAACAAATGTCTTCTTCATTTTCGTTTGAAAATTACAAGCTGAAAATTTTTGAAAAGAAAAGTTATATACCGTGATTCTATAACTTAGATCAATTTAACATTCGAAGTCCATCTAAGAACAAGTTCAACATTCTCCCGCCCAAACTGCTCTAATTTGGTCCTTTCTTTTCTAAAAAAAAACAGAACTCATCATCTTTCTGGACTTGTGGGCACATTTCAACTCAGCTGTGAACTTCTTGATCTACGGGATGACTCATCAGGGATTCAAGAGTGCATACAGCATACTGTTCACTAAGACTACCAGATGTGTCTCGAATGTAATCAAGGGGAAATTCACAACAGCAGAATGAAATAGCAGAGTCAATTTACGACTAAAACTGCGGAAGCTGAACTTAATATTAACCGGGTTGATCACATAGATATTTATTGATGTTATTGATGATTCAGTAAAAAAAAGTCTGAACCCATTAAAATTCAGGGATCCCAGGGTTTTAATTAGCATGATTTAGCTACGATTTGGCAATCACTGATGATAGACGAATAAATGATTAATGATTTTTCAATGTCACATGTTCAGAAAAGTCATAAAAACTGATGCTCATTGAATCGTTAAGTAGCAGGCGGGTTTTCTTAGAAAAATCTCAACGGACTAAAATGCATTTCACAGTGTAAGGGCGCCTATAGGATTTTTCATTCGATCTTTGAAATATTTGAAGTAACTCTATTGCGTGAACGGGTTGAACATTTGAATCCTTCAAGCAACCATTCAAGCAATGAAACTGCAAAGTATTACAATACATTACGAAGCTTGAACTCGTTTACAAAACTTGAAAATTTTACAACAAAAAAGTCATAAAATGATGAATTTTTCAAATTTTGAAATCATTTCCCACCAACAGTATATTGCATCCTCACCTAGCCATGAAACATTGAATTATTTTCAAATTGTTATAGCAAGAATTGTCTTGTAAAAAAGTAGTGTATTTATAGCAAGCTCATCAGAAACTTCGAACTATTTTGTAGCTTAATCGTTTCCCGGTGCTTTAAGTTTTATTCTATTTGAATTTGAATAATTATAAATAAATTCATAAAAAAACAGCTCTGCAAAGTAAATTTTTTGAGCAGTCTCATCAAGTATAAAAATTTATGAAATTATTTCAAGATGTTTCAAAGCAACAACCGGTTTGCCAAAAATTGAGCAACCTCATCAAGCGATGAAACTTTTATTTGTATCATGCATCGATCGGTTCATCAACCTCAAATTTTTCAGGCAATCTCGCCAAGCAATGGAACTTCGATTAAATCAAGATAAATCATAGCATCAGTTGCTGTGAAAAAATGTTTTTCACTCAACCCATAATACAATGAAATTTTGAAATGTTGTAAGTGAATCTCGCAGCATGAATATGTTTGAAAACTTTAATTTACTAAGCAATGTCAACAATCAGAGACACTCTGGGATCTTTCTAATTATTTGGAAGCGTGAATCGATTCGATAATATAAAAGTGTTCAAAGAAGATTTCAAATGAAAACTCAAATTAAATTTCAATTTCTCCGTCTCAATTGAACAGAAAAAGTTTTAGATATTATTCGTCTCAGAAATAAAAATGATCTCGAAATACTGCAGACAAATAAACGGGCAGATACTGTCTAGACTTGAAGTTCAATCGAGTTGCTTTTGTCTAAAATTTGTTCAAGAATTTTCCGCCCCACCTAAGTGAAGTGTTTTTTTTAAACGTTGCGATCGATAGCCTTTTAAACATAAGGCCATATGAATTGATGTCTTTCATGTAATTAATGCTTTCATAACTTTCATAACTGAATATTTTTATGCCAAATAACGTTCTGTCAGTGCTGCCTTAAGCAATTATCAATCGCAAGATTTTCTTGCAGTGAACCATTAGTTTCAGGGGATATATCTACCTTTGTCACATCTAAGGGTTCTCGAGGGTAAAAAAAACTTTAAGGATTATTTTCTAGAACCTGCTTTGCTAATTAAGTTTTTTTAAGTATTTCATAAATTCACTCAATAACCTGAATTATATTGAATGAAGATACCTTTTTGCGAAGTTTTATACCACTGTGATAGTTATAAGCTTTCGTTCTGGCTTGAGTTTTTTATGACAAATTTATGATGGTCGAAACTGGTAGGTCCCAGTGCTAATTCTTCTATGAAGTTGAGCTGATCTGTTGTTTCATCTGTACTTCTCAACAAATTTTTCCTGATTGATTGCTGGTTGTTTCATTCTTTTCTGACTGATACTATAAATAGTTTCAACCTCACAAATTTTTGTAAGTTTTAGTCATAGATCATGGCTCTAAATATTTTACAGTGATATTTATCAAGAATATACTTGGATATATTGAATACTTATTTTGAGCTGGTTTCAATAGAAAGCTAACTAAATGTGAAATTGACTCTGCTAATCCCAATTCATAAGTTCGGTTTGGGCTTCTATCCAACTCCATCGTTTTCCCTATTTTTTTTGCTTCAAGAACTCAGTTCGCTTTTTTTTCTATGCTACAGCAAATTCAACAACATAAGGCTAAGCCGTAAATCAAGTCTTTCAGTCGTTATCTGCACTGCATTGAAAATCAAAATAATTTTCCAAAAATTAAAAAATCAATTTTGAATATTCGCTGTTTAGACCATCCGCGCCAATCCGTCATAAATAAAACAGGCTTGCTTTGTTCGAATTTTTACTTTTATTATAACTAAGTTTAATCAAGCTGCCCGTACCTTACAAAAACTTGGAAACCAGATCTGAGCATCTTAAAATCTTGCCTATTTCAGATCTTGTCCAGACATGGTGCATGTTTCGTTTGGACATGGACATGGACATGTCTGAATCAGGATTGAGGCAGGTATGGATTCTATCGCAAAAACAGCTGGCACAAATCGAACTCCTGCTAAACAATGAATCCTTTGTAATAACACTTTTTTCAATTTCTGCAGACCGCGGGGAAGCTATTTTGGAATAAAGAAAAAGCTGAAAAATATTTTTTGTTTCGCAGGTTTTTATTTTTAGCCACCCGATTTTTCGTTCCAGAATTATTACAAACACATTATTCGAAAACTCCGTAGAATTTATTTCTATACGTGCTTTTCACAAACGGAAAACAAGGACGTGATTTTTAACGAGTTTTAGTGTTTTTTGTTAAAGACACGTAACAAAAGTTGGAAATCCATTCGAAAATTTCAAAAACATTTTTTTCAGATCTGATAATGTCTAATGCAGTTCTGGGCAGATATGCAATCTCACAACAAATGAATTAACCCTGGGCATATCTGTACTTTTATTTTGTTTCTGTACGGGTGTTCACTAATTCTTGAGCTTGAAATTTAAAAAATTCGTTTATTTACTGAGCTAACTGTTAAAAATAAGAACCTACAACGAGTTCTTTTCTTTTAAATAAAACTATTCTAATTACGAGAGTTATTTTTTTATAATTTGAATAAATATACCGAGCATTACAATTTTTTTAATAATTTAATATTGACAGCAGGGTTTCCAGAAGAGTAGTACTCCTCAACAAGCAGGCATCCGCTTGTTCAAGCGCGAAATGGTGCTCAACGTCAACGGTGCTCAACAAGCGGGATACCCTTCCTCAACCGTACTACATATAGTTGCAAGAATTTTTGTCGCCAAAACCCGGTCCTATTTATGCCTTTTTTAAATTCTCGAGTATTTCCTCTTGGCTCATCTATATAAGGTTCTTGGTTCTTTGCCTCGATAAAAATCTCCGCTTCTCAAACGAGATGAAGGTGGTTCGAGGTTCACCATGAATGTTCTCACTTTTTCAGGAAGTAGAAACTTATCCCAGCCCAAAAAAAAGGCATTTAATTCTCAAGCAGGAGCAGGCAGCAGAACAGTGGTTTTCCATAAATTGTTGAATATGGATCAATCTGTTTTGTTTTTAATCGTTAAATATTCAATCGTTACGCCTGTTTTGTTTTCATTCATTACGCCTGGCTATAGACAAGTGCAACAAAATCAAAATATGAAAAATGACCGAAAGTATGTTCAAATTGGATACTTCTATGCCGGAACCTATTGCAACGGTTTTTAAGCCCTTTTAGTCTGTATCTAGTTTTAAGTATTAAAAAAAACAACCCGAAGTCTAAATTAAGTTTGCTAAAAACTATTACTGAAAATTAAATTTTTCACTTGAAGTGTGAGTTTACATGGTTGCATATGAGCTTTTAGGCCTCGTAACTAGTTTTGATCTTTCTCTTTTTGATTTTACAGGTCTTGCAGTTTTTGGTCTTCGCCTAAAACTAACATTAGTTGTATCGCCCATAAATAGCAGTTTGTCAGTCGAAAGAGACCTTTCAAGCCCAGTATCAAAAACATCTTCTAAAAATTGACTTTCCGTTTTGTGAACTCCTACGCAACGTTGAGCATATTCATCTTCTCGTGACGTCAGCGGTGCGGACAAAGGTCTAGAATATTCTTCACGCACTACGCCATCTAGCGACAGATTTGATGCATTGACTTGAACTCCGGCTTTGAGTCGGGCGCCGACCAATGTTGCCATGGTTTCGGCGGCGCTCGTGCCTCTCTCGTAAGTTGAACTTATTTGCGAAGCTCGTTCGGCAAACAGTTCGTTGCACTTTTCATTGTATCTTCGTTTCAACTCGGTGTTTTCGCTCATCATGCCCTCGGCCCGAACCCAAAATTTCTCCTCGACTTGCTCGACTTTCTTGGCAAAGTTTGCTTCAAAGTCAGCGATTTGAAACTTCAAGCTTCTAAAATAAAACTGCAACATAGAAATCTTTGGCGGATAAAACTGTTTTGTTGTAGGACCTTGCATGTCAATTGCTTCAAAAAGTTAACTCACCTTTTTTGAACCATACCATTCTTACCTCTCAAAAATATTAATGTGTGATTTCAAAACTTATGAAACCTAGGATAGCTGAAAATATAAGAAACAAAACATGTTTGTAGCATTTTTGATAGACTTTTTGTAAAAAAGGAAAACTCAAAAAACCACTTGCCTGATTTCGGCGCTTTTATTTTGAGTTTCTTTCTTTAGAGCTCTGATTTCGATTTTCGCATTTTCAAACTGCGCTCTCAAAGTGTCGAGCTCTTCCAAGGCACTTCTGAATTTGGCCAAATCTTGGGTTGCTTCTGTGAAATTTCTCAGAAGTTCTGCTTTCTCCCGGTCTTTTTCTTGAACCATTAGTTTAAACTCCATTTTGTACTTTGTGTGAAGTTTTTCGATTTCACTTTCGTGGTCGGTTTGCATTTTTTCTTTGAGTGCGTTCAGAGAATTTGTTTTTTCTTCTAGAAATTCAGCTTTCAGTTTGGCTTCGAGTTTTTTGATTTTCTCTGCAACTTCGGCTGCGATGTTTTGTTTGTACGTCTCAAATGCTATTCAAGCAGGGCTGTCATCGAGGAAAACAATTGTCTCAGTTTCCCCTAACTATGGATGAGACTTTTAAAAAAGTGTGCGAATTTCCATTTGTTCCAAAAAATACCAGTTGAGAATTAAATAAGGATAGGGTTAAGAAGATTTTAAGAAACGAAGGCGCTGGGTATTTTTTCATTTTTCATTCAATTATGTAATATAGAAACTTAGCGACAAAAATCTTGCTTCACTTATTGGCCCCTCTCTAAAAAAAGACCAAGTTTCCCAAACTAACTTTTGTCTACTTTTGAACCCGTTTAACCCCCCTGCTTTAGTCATTTGTTTTGAATTGTAATGCCAAGCGCTTTAGATTTCAGCAAAGCTTTCTTAATGGTATTTCTGTTCTTTTTCATTAAAAAACTCTATCAGAAAATTGTATCTTGTATTTAAATTTTGAAAAATGATTTCCGCGCAATGTTGACCCCTAGTGACCTCCCTGCTTCAACCATGTCCAACTGAGTCTGTTTCTGATCCAGAGCATTGTAGAACTGCTGTTCTGTCTTCTCCATCTCGTACTGACTTCTTCTCTTCTGCTCGTCCAACTGGTAGCTCAACTCCCTCTTCAGGTCTCGAAGCGAGTCCATGTGGCTCTCTAAATGAAAAAAGGTGGTACATAAGCCAGCCGAAGTATAAATCAGCAGAATTATCAACCGGTCGAAAAAATGCAAGTGTTATATAATAGTTATATAGCAATTATGTAACAGTTACAAAAGTTATGCAAATTTCATTTTTATGATATAACTTTTCGGCTTACATACTTCCTTCGGTTGGTTTATACTTCGGCTGGTTTATTTACTTTCAAAAAAACTTGTGGAAAAACGAATTGTGGCAAAAAGATCTTGTGATAATCCTGGATGGTGGGGAGGGGGCGGCGGGGGTTGGTGATTGTTGAGGAACGTCTAAAGGCAATTTATCTCCAAAATTAACTAAACAAAGATGACTTTGATTTTTTTTGGACTGTTTGTGATCTGTTGCTTTTTCTTTGCTACCCTGGTCGAGGTTTGCGATTTATGTTTTGACCGAGGCGGGTCTAACACATGTCAGAGTTCGACCGAAAATCCATAGTCGGGAAGGCCCTCTAGTCGAACGCAAAGTCGAATCATAAAGTTGAGTCGGTCGAAACTCAAAGAGTCAGTCAAAATAGCAACGAGTAGGAATCATATCGGGATTCAACCATCGACAAATTGTTCTAGAGGAGGAGACTTCAGTGATTTTTCCTCTTCGCCCCCCAAAATCAGGTTTAGTATTGAAAATAGGTTGACTTTACAACAAAAGCCCACCCATAACCTGAAATCTGAGACGCCTGAAAACAGGCTTAATTTAGTCTATGACGTTCTCTCAAGTGATGTTTTTGTAGAAGAATTCTTCATTTGTATTTCTGTTTTCTGCTCGTGTAATGATTTCACTTGCAAACAATTAGTTATTTTTATTATGATTATTATTATTGTTATTATGATTATTATGATTAACCATATCGAACTGCCCCTCCTAAGATACCTCAGATACCAAAGACAGTTTATACCAGCTGCAGTAAAATTCTGGTTGAGATTTAAATTTAAAAAATGATGTCAGTCTTTTGAAGTTTCGAATTTGCAAGCACATCAAAATGATTTTAGTGGAAAAATATCAATTATATACTTATACTCACTTTTCAATATTTTTCTGAAAAATGAGCTTTTTTTCACAAATGACACAAGTGTGTGAGATTAAATTTTAATTCGTCTCGTTGCATGCTAAACAGAAGATAATATATAATAAACTAATCACGAAATTCAAAACTGACCTTTTAATTGCTGAAGTTGAAAATGCAGTTCATCGGCTGAAGTTTTCCTCGTAATTTGGTGCGTGACTTTCTCCTCCTCTAAGGCCACCGTCAAGTTCTCAATCTGATTTTCTAGACGAACAATTTCTTCTTCTAATTCTTGAACTTTATCTTTCAAATTTTCTACCGGAGTTTTCCGCACAGGAAGTTGTTCCAACTCTGAAAAATCAGTTTTGAGCGTCACCGAGATTCGATCCTGCGACTTAGATATGAACAAACCAGGTCCCATCTGAACCATGTCTGTCCTTGAACTGGCGCCGCTACGAGGCGGCAAATTTGTCGGACTTTTATTTGGAGAAGGAGCTCGCTTCGGCTGTAATCGTTTTGCTCTCGGTGAACCCGAAGTTCTAACTGGCGCTCGGTTTGGATCGCCACTTGCCGTCTCGGGTCTACGATTCTTTCGTGACTGGGCGAATAGCTCGGCCGCAGGAACAAAATTTCCGAGCTCTTTAACCGGTTTTCGGCTCAAATGGCTCGGACTGCTTTGAGGCCTTTGTAATGTCATTTTTTCTAATTAGGTTTTTTAGTTAAAAAAAGTTGATTTAGCAAAAAATCTTACAAGACAAAACTCAAAAACGCTTCGGTTACGGTTTAGCTTTTGACAAGTACTTTATATAATGAAGCCTTCAGCTGATTTTGAACAATAACACGATTCTTACATTGAATCTTCAATTTGCTTAAACCATAAAAATTGGTGCTCAAAACACAAATGAATATCCAAAACACCGTTTGCTTTTTGCTAGTGATGTTAAGCTTGGCGTAATGCAGACCATACTATTTTATAACATAAAAACAAAGCGTTTCTAGTCTTCTTAAACGTTTTGGACAATTTTCGTTGTTCATCCTCATAATAAAAATTAGCGACCGTTACACATTCACCAATTATGCTTAGAACAAATCGTCTCGTGAAACAAATAGAAATGCATAGAACAAATAGAAATACTAATTTGGTGCCAAATATACTAAAAGGAGCGGACACAAAAAAAAACGCAATTCAACAAAATTCAAAAAAGTACTCAAAACGGCATCTTAGAACAGTTTTTTTCAAAAGTTTGTCTAAAGTTACAGTACAGATTTTTTTTTGACACAATAAGGGTCTTTAGAGTGTTTTGGAGGAGATAGGAGCATCACTTTGGTCCACAAAGTTTTCGAAAGTTTTTTGAAAATCCCAGATGCGTCCCCGTCAAAAACCCTTGAAAGCTTTTTTTTTTCATTCTAAGGTGGCGACAGTGAGCACAAAAAATCACCTTCCCGGGTTGACCTCCCTACACCGAAAATGCTTATCATACAATTCCATACATCAAGTGTGTGGGAAAATGCTTGTCATACAATTTTCATACAATTTCTAAAAATGGTTGAAAACTGGTATAAACTCATTTCTGTGGCTGTTTGATTCTAATAAAACAATCTGGTGATAAAAAACTGAGGTTTTCGTTTTTTGAAAAAAAATGCTTATCATACAATTCCCATATATGAAAATTGTATGACTGGCTTTTTTTGATGGCGAGTAATTTTTTTGTTTTTTTTTTCAACCGCAAATCAATTTTCGTACGCAAACAAACATTTTTCGAAAAAAAAATTTTGCATGCAAAATTTAATATTTTGTGTGCATAACGTAGTCCTGGATACAATAAAATTGGCTTTTATTTTCTTTTCACTTAATTTTTTTTTCAAAAACGCTGAAAATTCCTTTTTCTTTTGTATAGGGTGTTAATGTACGCCTTAATTAATGTCTGATAATTTGAAAATTCAAAAATTTAATATAATCATCATTAAAAAAATTTGCCAAAAAATATAAGTTTGTTACTTTTGTTATATCATTTGTGAAAGACAGCCAAATTCAGGTCGTTTTCTATGCATTGTAAATGCAAGTCCGTCCAACCTTTTGGTGTTTTGAGTAACCAAGGTCTTTGGCACTTGTGTTCGGTTGCAACTACAACCGAAAATTTTTCAGAAACAAAATTTAGAGAGAAAACATCCAAATTTTTGGTTTATGGGAAAACACCTATCATACAATTTTCATATATGGAAAAATGCTTATCATAGAGTTTTCATACAATTTTCTGTACGTATGGAATTGTATAAAATTGTATGACAAGAAGTTTCTCATATATGGAAATTGTATGATAAGAAGTTTTGGTCAACCCGGGTTTTTAACTTTTAAATTTCTTGTCCCAACCTGAATATTTTGCTATCCTGCTATTTGAATTTCAAATTCTTAAGTTTCAAAAAGTTAATTGAAGGTTCCCGTACTGGAATTCCATGGATGATAATCGATTATATTGTCATTTTATAGTCAGTATCTATAAAATTACAAAATAATCGATTATAATCTATCAAAAATGGATTATAATCCTAGTATTTTTTATCACTATAATCCAATGGAATATATTTCGTATAATTTTTTTGCCAATATAATCCCTTATAATCGGTTATAATCAATTATAACGGATTTTTTTATAACGGATTTTTCTAGAGGTTAGTCTTGAAAATTACCACTTTTTTTCAAAGTTATCGCATTTCCTGTGTAGTGCATTTGCTACGTATTAGTTTTCGTAAAATGTTACATTTCTTGTTTCAATTTTTATAATTTTGTCTTATATACCCCGCTTACTCCCTCCCTGTTTACCCTAACCCCCTGTCCCCCCTCCCCCTGTTTCCCTCCCTGCTTACACCACCCCTTGTTTGCCCTCCTCGCGTTTTCCTCCCTGTTTTCACCCCATCCCCTGTTTACCCCCCCCCCCCTCACCCCCACCCCCACCTCCCTACCAGTATAACACAACCGCTCATTTAACCATGTAAAAAGAAACCAAAATTTCTGACTTCATGCAAAACACAAATTCTGATTTTAGTTTGCTTTTGGTCAAAAAACAGTTTCTAAACCACGTTGTAGCCAAAAACTACAACCTAGTTCAGTCCGTTTTTCTATGCTTTTCATGGGTTTTCCATTAAAAACTTTGTATGGTAAGCTTTTTTCCCATAGACCCGATTAATGTAATTGAATGACTTTCCTTCTTCTTATATTGATGTCAAGTCGGGAATTGGTCGCAGGCGAAGTATCGTTCTAACTTATTATTACGGCAAAATCTGTCAAAACAACACAGTACCAAACACAAAGAACCCTAATTTTTTGAAAAGTGGAACAAAAAAATGCTGAAGTTAAACGCTAACTAAATACGTTAGAAATTAACAGCGAAATTTTGCGTTTATCGTTGCTTAACTTTTCCTTTTCAATATTTCTCTCGGCATTTTTCTGAATATTCACACCCACGCAGACGTCAGTCACTCTTTTAGTCACATGCATGATGTACTTAGTCTATATTAAATATCCAAACAGGACCAGTTCAAGTAACCTACATCAGTTCAAAATGGAATGATTCTGGAGCCGAAATAACAAGCCATTTACTATAAAATTTACAAAAAATTTATTATCTGAAAATAGTTTTCTTTTTTTTCGAGCTCAAAGTATAATATTTTTTCTGAACTTTATGTCATTTTGTGCCAGAAGGTAGAGAGGAAAGTAAAAGCAACAAAGCTTGGAAACATCATTAATACATTCAGTTGACTACGTTTAATTTCTGCAATTTCTATTTAAAAATCCAAAAAAAAAATATTTCTGTAAGCAAAATAGTTAAAGGTCTTGTGTTGGTAATGCTGAAACTAAAAAAGAAAACGTTTCAGCTATATTTTTAAATTTCATAATTACAAAGAAGTATTACGCTGTTATGCTGTTAAATAGGACATAAATCAATCCGAAATGTTGGTTATTTGAAAATTCGAAGCTTCTGTGAAGAAAATAAAACCATTCCAAGCTTGAAGCGACACTTCGTAACTGTCGACAATTATTGTAACAGGCGAAAAATGGTAACTAGCGACAAGTCGTAATCATAGGGCGAAAACTGAATTAGTCACACTTCCTCTCGTGCCGAATGTATGCGCAGTGGAGCAAAAAGCAAGAGTATTTTACTGGCCATGCCTTATCACGAAAAGTTGCTTGTTACGAATTGTCGCCATACCCATTCCAAGCACAAATAATCCGCTACTTTCTCTGAATTTCGAATCAAAACCAAAACCGTTTGCACTAGGTTGAAATGACTCTGGACTCGATCGTTGTGGGATTTGAATACAGTTATGAAGTTTTGGAGCTACTTTTTTCAATGAAAAGAAAATGGCGAGCAGAATTCATTTTGTTTTTACCAAAATCTACAAAATAGTTGGCTTACAAAAAATTCAAGCTATATAACAAATTGATTGATTTAAATTCAAAATGAGAGCTACTATTAATTTGAAGCGGCCCGAACACTTGGAACCAATGTTTAAAAAACGAGTCCAAATTCTATCAAGTTCAATGAAAGCTCGGAAGCTTTTCTAAAAATTCCAAAAAAAACAGCCATTATACTTTTCTCTTCTTGTTCCAATTCAGTCAAGTTGTTCGTTTTATAAATTATAGTTTGGGGACAAATGTAGCTGATCAAGCAAACAGATTGACTCATTCAAATTGTCTGAAAAATTATGAGTCTAAAAAGCAATTGAAATAAGTTGAGTAAAAATTGATCTTCGAATTCAGTGGCTGGGTTTCTAGCCAAAATAATGCCCTGATCAGTGATAAGCGTATTCATCAATATGTACAAAACTCATTTAAAGACAATTTCACCAGTCTTGCTGAGGTGAGAAATAAATTAGAACAAATTGCTATTTCAAAAGTCATCAATATTACAGTTTTTCGATTGTTGTTTCGATCAATTAGGTTGATGGTCTTCAATTATTTTTTGAAACTTGGTAAATATCTGGGTAATTATAATGGAAGGCAACATTTTCCAATAAAATACCTATTAATTTTTATTTGAACTTGGCCAGAATTTTTTCAAAGGCGGGTTAAGAAACAAAACTTCGACATAACATCCGAAAAATACATTCAAAAGATATTCTGATACAAAATGTGGAATCAAAAAGATTAGATTTTTTTTGCCGTTTTTCTTGTTTCCGTTGATCAACGAGGCTGCTAACGATAGCAACATGCCTGTTTGCCATAAATGGGTTGGGTTGAAAATAACAGCAAAGCAGGTTCGTGTAGCTTAGATGTTGCATTGTCTGATTTTCTTCTAAGCTCAAAATCAATCTGATAACAAATTTTTTATCTACCCTAAATTTTTAAGAAAAAAACTGTTCTGATATCCAGTTTTTTGAATATTTTTGAAATTTTGATTCGAGCCGTCTTGTTTCACTTTCAAAAAAATTGATATACATTTTTCCTCAAGTTTGTTTCAAATTTGTCTTCATATCATAATAAAAAGTGAACGAACATTTCAAAAGTAAGCAAAAATATTCAATAATTTTTAATAAGAAAAACAATAGTCAAATAATAAAAAGAATAGCCGGTTACTGTGAAAGTAGCCTAGAAGTTCCCAAAAAAGGGGAATGAAAACCAAACTTTTTGGTGTTTTTTCCTATTGGTGTCGGTTTTCTTGCGTATTGTGATTTCAGAACTATTCAACGTGTTATATTAGTGAATTAGATATATACTGAAACAGTTGTCTTCAAAAAAACACAAACAAAATCAAAAATTGACAAATTAAAACGTTTTTTAATTACTTTTTATACAAACCCTTTCAAACTTTTTTTAATTTCTTTTTTGCCAAGGAAGCACTAAGTTACAAAACGATCATTACTCGATCACTTTACTTGCTCGAAATTGAACTAAAAATCAAATTTGTTAACCAGTTTTTCTCGACATTATGACA